CACTATCTCATCTCATTTTCCCAACTATCCCAGTGCGGGAGATATTATTAGCCCCTGTTTCACAGACGTAAAATCCAGGTGTCGGGGAGGTTAGATGACTTGCCCAAGGGTTTACAGCTTGTAAATCATGGAACTGGAATTCTAATACATGTGTTTTCGTGTCTCCAAAGTCCTATTCTTTCTCCGTCACCAGGTGAGTTCTGTGGGGTGCTCCTGCTTGTGTCCTCCTTCCCTCCCCTCTCCCCGTTTTATCCCCTCAAGCCTTTCTGACTCAAAGGAAATACAGTTCATGCCTTGACCCTGTGAATGAAAACCACCCTCCTATTTTTCATTGATCAACCACCAGCTGGATAATTCAGTTTCCAGGGTTTGAGACAGCTTGCATCCTTGCTCTTTGCTTCTTATTTTTAAGATGGAAAATGCATTTCCTGACCTTTTACTAAGTGATAGCTTTCATCTTTCTCTGCCTTTTGCCCAAACTCAACTTTGTTCCTCCCATTCATGAAGTGCTGTGCTCTCCTTCCTCTGAACTCCCAGCATCTACCAGGAGCCTCCTGTCCCCCCTGCATCTGAGACAGCTTACAGGCCCACTATCTTACATTCAGCAGAGTTTTACCTTTACAAAAGTGTCTCATTTCTGTCTCCCTCTCAGTAGGACGTATGCAGAGATCATTAGTCCCATCCTACAGCAAAGGAAACGGAGGGTTAGCCGAGAGAAGTGAATTAGCCAAATCAAAGAGCTACTGAGCCTGTGTTGCTGAGGAGTCAACCCTGATCTCCCAGATTCTAAAGCCTACAATCATTGCACTGTATCTTGGGGCCATGATACCTGACTGTGGGAACAAGGGCAGTGTGGGAAGTACCTTAACAAGGACAGAGTGGAAATGGACCAGAGTTTCTGAAAATAGGCTCCTCCTGCTGCCCAGGCATTCTGTAATGTCCCATCACTCCCACGGCAGCCCGATACCCCAAACTGAGGATGCACAAAGACCATAACTTTTTTACTCTGGTACTCTGGTACCTTGTGAGGAACTAACTTGATCAGAAGGATGACTGAGTTCCTACCCTTGTGCTAGGCGCTACGCTTTTTTTACACCTTATCCCCCTTTTTTTTTTTTTTTTAAGATTTTATTTATTTATCAGAGAGAGAGAGGAAGAGAGAGCGAGCACAGGCATACAGAATGGCAGGCAGAGGCAGAGGGAGAAGCAGGCTCCCTGCCGAGCAAGGAGCCCGATGTGGGACTCGATCCCAGGACTCTGGGATCATGACCTGAGCCGAAGGCAGCTGCTTAACCAACTGAGCCACGCAGGCATCCCACCTTATCCCCTTTAAACTACTCAACTACTCTGCCAAGTGGTGACTATCAACTCTATTTTGCAGATGAGGTGAATGAGGTAAGTGTAGAGGTGATATTCCAACCTAGACACATTTAATAATAGACAAAAAAAAATGGGGGGCATTGATAGACAAGAGTTCAGTTCTCCCTCTAAAAGGTGTAGGTGGGAGATCCCTAATCGGCCCTTCTCACCATCCATCAGCTTGGTGTTTTCATTAAGTTAAACATACACTTACTCTATGTATTAGATACCTATGGCTACTGTAACAAATTTCCACAAACTAGGTGGCTTAACATAACAGAAATGCATTATCTCACATTTCCAGGGGCCAGAAATACAAAAATCCGTCTCACTGGGTTGAAATCAAAGGCTCCAGGGGAGAATAAGTTCCTCGCCTTGTCCAGTTTCTAGTGACTGCCAGCATCCCTCTGCCTGGAGCTGTATCACTGCAATCCCTGCGTGTGTCTTTACATCACTGTGTGTGGGTCCATCTCTGTCTGCCTTTCTCTTATAGGGGCAGTTTTGATGGCATTTAGGATCCACCCAGATAATTCAGGATAAGCTCCTTATCTCAGAATCCTTAATTTGAGGCATCTGGGTTGCTCAGTTGGTTAAGAGTCTGCCTTTGGCTCAGGTCATGGTCTCGGGGTCCTGTTTCAAGCCCTGCGTTGGGCTCCCTGCTCGGTGGGGATCCTGCTTCTCCCTCTCTCTCTGTAGCTCTCCTGGCTTGCGCTCTCCCCCAACTCTCTGTCAAATAGGTAAATAATCTTTAAGGGGGAAAAAAACACTGTAATTTAATCACATCTGGCAAATTTTATCATGTAAAGTAACATTCACAGGTTCCAGAGATTAAGACCTAATATCCAGGGGTTACTATTCAGCCCACTACACCATACAAATCAGCAATTACACTCCTATGTATTTATCCTAGAGACACGAAAATGTACATCTGCACAAAACCTAAACATGAATGTTCATAGCAGCTTTATTTGCAATTGACAAAAACTGGAAACAACCCAAAAGTCCTTCAATGAGCAGATGGTACCACCATACAATGGAATATATGCAGCCATAAAAAGGAATGCACTACTGATGCACACAAAACTTCAGTGGATTTCAAGGATGTTATAAAGAGTGAAAAAAGCCAATCTTAAAAGATTGTATACCACATAGTTCCATTTATATCACACTTCCAGTATGACAAAATTATAGTAATAGAGAATGGGTTAGTGGTTACCAGGAGTTAGATTTTTTTTTTTTAAGATTTTGTTTATTTATTTGATAGAGAGTGAGAGAGAGAATGACAGGGGAGAAGGTCAGAGGGAGAAGCAGACTCCTCATGGAGCTGGGAGCCTGATGCGGGACTTGATCCCGGGATTCCGGGATCATGACCTGAGCTGAAGGCAGTCACTTAACCAACTGAGCCACCCAGGCGCCCCCAGGAGTTAGATTTAGAAGGAAGGTTCAAGTATAAAGAGGAAACATGAGGAAGTTTCTTTGTGGTGATGGAAGAGTTTATCCTGATTGTGGCTGTGATTATATGTCTATATATGTGATAAACTTTGATAGTACACCACAAAAAGAGTGCATATAAAAACTGGTAGAAATTGAACAGGATTTGTAGTTTAGTTAATCATACTGTATCAATGTCAGTCTCCTAGTTTGGAAGTTTTCCTATGGTTGTTTAAGATGTTATCATTGGGGAAAGCTGGGTGAAGGATAAGTGTACTTTTTTCTTTTTTTTACTTCTTATGAGTCTTCAATTCTTTAAGAATAGAGAATTCAAAACAAAACAAACAACAAAAAAAGGAAATTTATTGGCTCTGTAGGTGAGAAGTCTAAAAGTAAGGTGGGCTTTATGCATGGTTGAAATAGAAGTTCACTATGTTGTCAGGCTTGTGGCTCCATCCTCTAAGATTCTTTCAACTCTACCCTCTATTTTGAGTTGGCTTACTCCTCAGGCTGACTTTTCTTATGGTAGAAAGTTGGCTACCAACAGTCCCTGGGGCCACCAGCTTTTTGTTTCCCTCTAGCCAGGAGAAGAAAGAGGGAACTATCTCTTCCTTCAAAGGTGCAGGGAGCTGAGCTCTACTCTGATTGGACCATTCAGGTCATGTGTCCACCCCTAAACCAATCATTGTCCTCAGGGAAATGCTGTGCATCCATTACTGAGCCATGTGGCAAAGGAATAGGATTATCTGATTGGCTCAGATCAACCAGGCCCCACACCTATAGTTGGGATGGGACCAATACCACCCAAATATAATTGCTATTACCAGATGGGAAGAGGTGGAGTGAATGTTAGGTAGCCAACTCCAATGTCTAATATAACTTGCTTCTTAAAATTCACTCTTGCCTTAGTTTCAAAGTTCTCATTCTTCCTGGGTATCCCCCCCCCACCACCATCAATGGAGTTTTCTAGACAGAGAAGGTAAAAAATGTCATTCCAGGCAGAAGTAACAGCATAAGCAAAAAATCAGAGATGTAAAGGAATGGAGCTATTTAGGGTACAATGAAAACCTTGGTGTCACAAACACAGAATTCTTAAGAGTGATAGTAATGAAGCCAAAGAGAAGGGATAGGCCCAGTATGTGAAGAGCCTTGAATGCCACCCCAAGGATAACAGGTAATGAGAAGACATTGAAGGCTTTTGAGAAAGAACAGTACATGGACTCACATGACTTTAGAGTGTTCTCTCTGGCTACAAAGTGGAGGGTAGACTGAAGGAGACCCAACTAGAGGCTGTTCCAGTGGTCTGGGAGGAAGGAGATGAAAAGCTTGATCGAGGGTGGTGGCCATGAAGATGTAGAGAAATGGGTGAATATGGAAGATGGTAATTGGTGAAATCAGAGGGACTTGGTGACTCACATTTCTGGCTTGAACAGTTGATATGTTTTTTTGTTTTTTAAGATTTTATTTTAAATAATTTCTATATCCAACATGGGGCTCTAACCCACAACCCTGAGATCAAGAGTGTCATGCTCCAGCAGCTGAGCCAGCCAGGTACCCCTGAACACTTGATACATTTTATCCAAAAAGGCAAGAATGCTCAATTGTGTCAAATGCTCCTGACAAGTCAAGGGAGATAAGGATTTGTAAGTGACTGTGGGATTTAGTGACAAAACATTTTGAGGTATGTTGGGAGCAGAAACCAAATAAATTTTGGCAGAATAAGTAATGAATGGGAAGTGGGGAATACTAATGTCAAGTGAGCCTCCTTTCAAGCTTGTATACAAGAGGAGGAGAGGATAAATCAGCAGCGTGTCATGGAATCTATTCTTAAAGAAGAGAATAATGTATGTTTTAAATTTTCCAACACATCTCTGCATGCTAGCTGTGTAGTCAGCCTGTATCCTCATCTATAAAATGAGTTTTTAATAGTACCTACCTCATGGGTTTATGGTCAAGGTCAAGTCTTCATTTTTTCCTAACAATTGTTTATTGTCTGTCTCCCCCACTAGACTGTAAGTTCATTAGAAACACTGACAGCTCCTATTGAATGATGTAGTATGTTGTTAATAAATATTTGTTAAGCGAATGATGCATATAAGACTGAGTGCAGTCCTGCCCAAGGTGAGCACTTGGGAAAATTGGCCAGGGTGAGTTTGACTGTGGGGGAGGAAGGTCTGTAAGAGGAATGCCTTCTGCTTGCTGTTTTCTAGACCCCAAGGAGGAAGCGCCCCCTGGCCGCCAAGGTGGAAACACAGGCAATTCAATGGAGGTGCCAGGAGTGAGCATTCCCTGGCAGAATCACCCCTTCCTGAACCCACGGCTAGACTACAATGAGGAGCAGGCCATGGACCCCAAACGCCTGCTCCAGCACTGCTTCATGGCCACAGTGACTGCCAGTGACATCCCAGGCAGCCCTCAGGAGGCCGTTGTCCCAAATCTAGACCCATGTGGACCAACCCCATAAACATCCAATAAATGTCTCTACACCATCCTTTTCTGGAGCCTCTTTTCCATGAAAGGTGGGGGTAGGGATGATCAAAGGGACTTGGGAGACTGGTGGGATAAATGAGGGCTTTCCCCAGCAACTCCACCCAGGCCCTGCTTTGGACCCAGTTATACTGCTCTGCCTTGCCTCCTGTGAGTCAAAGAGAGTTTAGACATGTGTCCCGGGGAAATGGTCAGTAACAACTCCACGCAGTCAGGGGGAAGCCTGGGGTTATGGAGGCTCACAGGAGCTGCTTGCCTAAGGGGGAGGTCAGAGAACTCTGACTTGGTCTTCCTGTTACAGAGCAGGTATATTTAGGATCCCCCAGGAAGATGGCTGGGACCCAGAGGCAGGTGACTCCTAGTTCTCCTGCAGCTCTGCCGTGAGGAACAGAATGAGAAGGAGTGGGGGGGTGGGGGGGTGGGGATTAAATTACTTAGTCCAAGCAAAGTACTTAAAACAGTGTTGGCACATGAAAAGCACTATGTGTTAGCTATCATCATCATTGTTATTATTATTAGTTTACTGTTAAGGAATCTTAGGGCAGGATGGCTGACTGCCACCCCTCTCCTGCCTATTCTCTTCATCTTAACTTTGGCAGTTGCTTTAGGCTTTGCCTTGGGAGTACAAGGCAAGGATTGGAGAGAATCAGTGGCCACTGAAAGCAGCTCTCGACATTTCTGACAGTGATATGACCTGCTGCTGGATTTGGCGACAGTGAAATGGCCACTCTTAGATATTTGGGCATGGGGCCTGAGCCAGCCAAGGGCACATGGTAGGGTGACAAGGCAGGGGGTGAGTCACCTGCAGAAGTGGTCTAGGCTGGAAATTGAGAGAACTTGGTTTTGGTCTTCATTTGTTGTTGTTTTGTGTGTGTGTGTGTGTGTGTGTGTGTGTGTGTGTGTGCATATGTGCACATATATGTGTCTTTTATTTTTAGCACTCTGAACCCAGCACCTTGTCTGCTTATCATACATCCAGCAGTGTCTATTCTGTGCCAGGACTCGCATGGGTTACCAGAAACAACAGGGAATCAGCCACAGCTGCTGCCCTCAAGGGGATCCCATGGAGGGCAAGGAGAGCACACGAAAGGGAAGTGGGCCCAGTGGTGGGCCCTCATGCAGTTTGAGCAAGGAATGAGTGATGTCTGAGCTGAATCATCAAAGATGAGTCAGTTTCCAGGAGAGACAAGGTCAGAAGCCATTATGTTCAGAGTACAACTTGTTCTAAAACAGAGAGAGAGCCTAGCGCACCTCAGGAACTGCAAGTTATCTGTTGGGGAGAGAGCTTAGGGTACTTTGGTGTGTGCGTGTGTGTGTGTGTGTGTGTGTGCACTTGCGTGACAGACGAGAGGTTTCGTCACTGATGTTCTGCATGACCTTGCACAGGACAGATCCTGTTTCTCTTCTTTGTATCCGCATCAGTTAATTTCAGTTTTCCTCCGAACTTCCTATGCTGAGACTTCCAGGAGGTTTCGGGGAAGAATCCGATACAGCCTGTGTCCTTAGGCTACTCATGGACTGATGGGGGGACACAGTCTGTAAATTCTAAAAACTCAATTGGTCATTCGTGGCCTAAAGCAGTCGTTCTCAAACTTCAGACTGCATCGGAATCAGGTGGAGGACTTGTTAAAATACAAATTGCTGGGCCCACTTCTCTCCCACCATGGAGTGTCTACATCTGTAGGCCTGGAGTAAGTCCCCACAATTTTAACTAGTTCCAGGTGATGCTGATGCAGCTGGTCTGGGCCAGCTTTTTGAGCATGACTGGGCAGGAAAAACAAAGAGGACTCAGCTGGAGAGATTAAAAAGGCAAACTCATACTGAAGAAGTTCCATGAAGGCCTAGTAGAACTTCCCAGCAGGAGGCTGTGTAGATGGGGTGGGGAGAGGGGAAAACAGACTGTGTGTTTTGCTGACCTATACATCCCAGGCCCCATAAAGCTCTTCCCATCCCCCATGTTTCAGGTTCTCCCATTTGAATTCAGTCAGTCCTCAGAGCTGGCTCTCACTGGGGTTGGCTTCTCTAAGTCTGGTGTCAGAAGGCAACTGCCCACCCTGTGCAGTGGGAGCCTCCTTCCCTAGGGCCATGGAGCACGAAGGAAGCTGGGTGGGCTGACTCACAGACAAAAATAGTCTGCGCTCACCGCTGCTCCCAAGCACACATCGACTGGCAATTATCTCTTGTAAATTGCTTTCCTGCTTACGTTCAGAACATGTGAGTGTGTCTGCCTGCCCGCTTGGGAACAAACACTCAGAAGGCACAGGGTGGAGGTGGTCAGCTGGGAGTGGGCTCCAGATGGAGGGAAGCCCAAGTCTGAATCTTCAGCCAAGAATTAGCGAACTGTTGAATCTCAGACCTTGGAAATATCAGAACCTTGCACTTGCCCTTGTAACACTCCCACCACTTGGTTTTCCAGCCTCTCAAACATTCTCATTTGTTTCTTCCTTCAACATTGACTGGCAGTGATTCTCTACCAGGATCTGGGCTAAATGAGGTCCCAGTTCCTGTTCCTGAAGGGGCTCATCGCTATGGCATCGATAGAAAATTCCTAACACAGCTAAGAGCTTCCAGGAAGCTTCTTGGAGTAAGTAATGTCTGAATAAAGTCTTGAACCCACTGACAGGTGAAAAGGGGTTTGTGATGCAAGATGGGGAACAGCATTTAAGGCACAGGGAATAGCATACATAAAGGCCCGAGCTAGAAGAGAGCAGATGGTGATTCAAGGGACAATAATAATTCAGTTTGGGTGGACTCTGGAATCAAGGTGGGATGGCGAGAGATGAAGCTGGATGGGTATGTGGGCCAAGCCCTGAAGCCTCTGCCATATTAAGGGTCTCAGGCTTTATCCTGAGGGCAATGGAAGTGACTGGAAAAGGTTTGGCATGGGAAGGAACTCAGAACCTTATGTGATAGCTTGCTTTCACGTTCTTCATGAAACTGAAGTAAAATGTGTTACCCAGGAGCTCTGCTTTGGGGACCTATTGAAACCTGTTCCTCTGGTTCCTGAAACCCCAGAAATCTGAAGGGCGGTGATGGCTCTCATCCCCACAAGAAATGGCTCGGGTCCTGGACGCTTATTAGGGGGAGGAGGCCTTTCCACTGTCATTAATGACTCTGCTCTTCTATGCCCCGTTAGCTCAGGGGCCAGAGCCTGGTACAACAAAGTCCCAGGCCATAGAACCAGAGCCGTGCCTCACTCTGTCACAGAGACCCAGGAGGCTCTCATGTGCACAGCACTGGGAAGGGTATGAATGGCTCCTTGCATACCTACTCCATACCTCTCAGGATCAAGACCACCCAGATTGGATGGTCCACTCAGGGAGTGTTGACTGAGGACACCCTGTGGGCCCAGCACTGTGACAAGCCCTTTAGGAGAGAAGATGCAGCTCTGTAAGTCTTGGCAACTTCCTACTACGGATGAAAAGTAGGTGTGACCCATAAGACCCCTAGGGAGCAGGGAATCAGAGAATTCAAAAGCAAATGCAAGCTGTGGGTTAAAAGCCATTAGAGTGGCGGAGAGTTTGTAACAGAAGAAAAGAAATAGCCTTGGAAGCCTTTATGGAGGAAGTGGTGTTGAATTTGACCTTGATGAGTCATGGTAATATTTGAAGGGTCGCAATGAAGTAAAGAAAGTGTTCTATAATGTCAACTTTATATTTTAAGAGAATACTACTTGTGGCTCCAAGGGCTTTGAACAAGTAGATCTTTCATTCACCAGCTCTACATCAGCCATAGTCATTCAACATACACTTACTATCTTTTGTGTGCCAGACCTTGGTCTGAGCATGAGGAACAAAGTAATGAGTCAGTCAAAGTTCCTGTCCTTGAGGAGCTCTCAGGCTATTGGGGAAGATTGGTAACTTAAAGAGACAATTAGAACATAGGACAGAAAGTGCTTTGCCTATTCACTGATTGAAAGATGGTTATGGTAACCTTATACGTGGTGCTACATTAGTGCAACATAACTTTGCCACCCCTCAGTCAAGCAATGGAATGTATTTTCTCATCCTTGGTTTCTATGCTAACTTTGTGATTTGCTTCAAAAAAAAAAAAAAAAAAAAAGCAAGTGGCAGAAGTGACACTGCACCAATTTTGAGTCTAGGCTTTAAGAGACTTTGCAGCTTCCTCTCTCAACTTCTTGGAATGCAGTGTCACTATGCAGGAGCCTAGAGCCCACTGGAAGATGAGAGCATGCAGAAGCTACATGAGCTCTCTACTGAGGCCCTCTAGACCAACCAGCTCCCAGCTGAGTGACCAGAAGAGTGAAACTACATGAGTGACCCCAGGTGAGATCAACAGAAGAATCACCAGCTAAGTCCAAAGCACCAATCCACAGACTCATGAGCAAATAAATGGCTATTGTTTTAAGCCATATGTTTCTGGTAGTTTGTTACATGGCAAGAGATTACTGATGCAGTTCTTTTCACATACTTTATTACAACTGTGAACCCTGTGTCCATGTCTTCTCTATTTGCCTGTGAGCTCCTCCTTAGATGAAAGAAACTGTGCCAACTGTGTACCACTCCAGATCCACTTTCTTCCCTTCTCCATCTTGCTCTGTGCCTTGAGAGGGTTACACAAAGAGGCTACCTTGCCCTCTGGAATCTGCGGGGGTCTGGTCCACTGGAGTCCCAGCAGAGTACATATTCTCCTAGCTTCCTCCCCGGAGGTTCATGACAGGGTGCATCTCTGCACCAAGGGATAATCCTATCCCTTGGATTACAACACCAAGTGCTTACAACAGCTCTCTTTGTCCAGATTCTATTGCTCCCTCCCCTGCTCCTTTAGACCTAAGGGTAGTAACAAGTGCTCTTACATGACTTGCCCTGGGGCATTCCCTATTCCTTGACCCTTTATTAAACAGTCCCTTTATTAAACTCTACTCAAATTACCCAGTTTGCGAATGCCACATATTTCCTTCTGACATCCCGAATGGTAGTTTCTTTTATTTATTTATTTGTTTGTTTGTTTATTTCTTTATTTATTTGACAGAGAGAGAGAGAG